CGTCGGACTGGACCGCTCACAGGGCCTACAACCTATCTGGACTGCCTTGTAGATCCTACAACGTATCCGGACTACTCTGGGTATCTTGGCCTACAACACAAAGCAAGACCGCCTCAACTCAACCACAATATGTCGACATATGTAACATGCAAACATAAATAGAGAACCAGCAAATTGTGCCCTTGACCAATGGGTACAGTGAGAAAAACTCACCACTTAGTATAAAAAGATATCGAGCAGAACACAACTCCGAATGGTAGTGTAACTGGTCACCTAAATACCACTAAAATTACCTAAAATACCCTTAGGTCAAACTTGGTCAAAGGTCAAAGTCAACAAACCAACTAATTACGTTAGACGTACTCATCTGTATGCGGGGCATACTCTGCTTGACCCAGAAGTCGTGGCCTTGGCCTAGCGTACGAACCTGGTCAGCCCCATCTCTCATTAAGAGCTTAATACATGAAGTCCTTACGTCCAAAATCAGATCTAAGCCCAACATAACATTATAAGTCATAAAGTTTCCAACTTTATGAATTTTCATGGCAAGAAGTGCTTAATACCAACAAACCCTAACTTTTTAATCCATTAAGACATCCTAGCACATGTGTGGGGTAGAACTAAGATCCAAGACCACATTTTTATGCTTCTAGACACCTCAAAACGTTTGAAAGGACAACTTACATGGTCTAGAGCATGCCGTATTCATCAATGTGAAGTCTTGGGACCAAAATGCTTAGTGAATCAAGACTAACAAGATCTAAAGAAATGCAAGCCAAGTTCAGAACTTTATACCTCTTAGAGGTTGCTAGATAGATGAAGATTTTAGATCTAAAGCTACTAAAATGCATACCAAAGGTGAAGAATGTCCAATAAGGAACTAGGGTTTGCTAAGGTCGAATGAGGGGGGGGGGGGTGATGGAGGATGATTAGAGAAGAGGTTTGGCAGCCATAAGATGATTAAATAAAGTCCAAACCCTAAAATTTAGGGTGTGGGAGATCACCATGTACGCCCAGCGTACGTACTCATGCCCCAAAAATTACAAAAATGCCATTATGGGCCATTTTGCAACATTTTCCATACATAAGGGCTAAAATGCAATAACTCTTCATACTTTGGGTTAAAATTGGAAAAACCTCATCATTATAATGTTACAATTCTTCCTAAATTGAACTAGATTTCGTCATCGAAGTCCATTGCTGCGAACAACTCTGGAAATTTCTTTCATATCTCTGATTCGGGTTCCCAAGTCTATTCATAACCCTTTTGATGTTGTTACTCAACTTTGATTAAAGTCACCACCTTGTAGCGCAAGATCTTCATCTTTAGATCCAGTATTTCCACTGGTCACTCCTATAATTTAGCGATCATCAACCTGAATATCCCCTAAGGGAACAACTGCCGAATCATCAGCCATACACTTCTAAAGTTGTGAAACATGGAATGTGTTGTGGATCTGACTGGTCACTACAAGAATAGTGGGCAACAGCGGCGACGTGTGTCGCCGTTAATACCTTCAGCGGCGACGTGTCGTTGCAAATGAGTCGTCTGGAATGCTTCGTCGCTAATGCACATCTTATCGCCGCTAATAGTGTATCGTCCCTGCTATTGGCATGTTGCTGCTAAAGTCTTCCTGTCGCTACAAATACATTGTCGTCGGTAATAGGGAATTATCGCTGCAAATGACATCGCCGTAAGAAAAAATTGATTTTTTTGATTTTTTTTAACATTAAATTTATAAAAAACAATATAACATTTATAAAATCTGATAAAGTTTTATAGAAATATTAATCCGTACACAACGAATCCAAAATATTAATATTAATCCACAATCCAAAATACTAATCCATACTACAACCTAAAGTATTCTTCCAAATTACAAAACATTTCAAAAAATCCTAAAGTAGCTACCCGTCTTCATCATTTCCTTCATTATTTTTGGTGGTGATAATGAGCGAAACCACTCTTCTAATGCTGCAGAACAGGTCGGGTCCTTTAGTACCGTTTGCAGCATTTCAAACTACACAGAAAACAAAATATATTACCAACATATCATAATAGCATTATACAAAATATCAACATATCAAATTATAACCAACATATCATTATTGCATTCTACTTTCCATTATAGCATTGTACTTTCCAAAAATTACCAAACTACAAAATATCAACATATCAAACCATAACCAACATATCATTATAGCATTCTACTTTCCATTATAGCATTTACTTTTTAAAAATTACCAAACTACAAAATATCAACATATAAAACCGTAACCAACATATCATTATAGCATTCTACTTTCCATTATAGCATTGTACTTTCCAAAAATTACCAAACTACAAAATATCAACACATCAAACCATAACCAACATATCATTATAGCATTCTACTTTCCATTATAACATTTACTTTCTAAAAATTACCAAACTACAAAATATCAATATATCAAACAATAACCAACATATCATTATAACATTCGACTTTCCATTATAGCATTTACTTAAACTAACAATTACCTGTGATTGTGGTGGTTCTTGTGTCACTGGTTGCTCCTGATCGAACATCGATATAACGGTAGGAGGTTTACGTCCAATGCCTCTGATATGTCCGCGTCGAACACCTAATATTCTTTCAAAATAGTTTTTTATACCAGTGGGTGTTAGACCGCTTGCTTCAGAAGAAGTTTGGGTTCATTGGTTGATCTCCTGGAATAAAGCATTCTGTATTTTAAAAAAAAATAATAAAAATCATAAAAATTAGATAACTAAATACCATTTATGATATAAACACTTAAGCTAAAGTTTTAATGATCAACATTAAGTCACTAAAAGTATGTTGCTATTAATTTGGTTTTATAATTAATTTAATTTGATTTTATAAAATTAACTTAATTTGATTCTAAAGGTAAATTAATTTGATTTTCTAATTAATTTAATATTTTCTTTTTTGTTATTAGTTTAATTTTTTAAACTCATTTTATTTTAGTTTAATATTAATATTAACTTGATTTTAAAACTAATTTAATTTGATTTTACAATTAATTTATTATTTGTTATTGATTTTTTTAAAATTAATTTAATTTTATTTTATAATTAAATTAAAATTACTAGAAGTACGTTGCTATTAATAACCTAATTAAGCTAAAGTTGTAATGACCAGCATTAAGTTACTAAAAGTATGTTGCTATTAAGTTGTAATGACCAACCATAAGCACTTCACAATAAAAATAAAAGTAAGCACTTTACAATACAAATAATAGCATCTAAATACAAAAACTATAATTTATCAACTAAGAACTTTATCACTTCATCTTATTTACAATAGATTCAATTCCAATTTTCATTTCATTTTAGATATACAATACAACTTTCATATTCCAATTTCATACAATTAAGCAATATATCCAATTGCATACAATACATATAATTTAAATTCCAATTTCAAACAATTAAGCAATACATCCAATTTCATACAATCCCACCATTTTAGACATCCAATTCCATTTTCCTAGAAAAATAAACATTATATACAAAATCACACAAACCATGTCTAATACCATTTTCATTCCAATACACCACAATAAACATAAACACAAATCAATTACAATAGGCTGCATCAAATATGAGAAAACGTACATAATCACTCAAAAATCATCAATTTACAGCCAAACAAGAGCCTTGGTTTACCCTCAAAATCACTAACAGAAAAAAATCTTGGAAAACATAGAAATCAATGTACAATCAATTTTGAATGGTAAAACTAACATCAAAACACAAGACTAGAAATTAGGGAAAGAATTCGACCTTAGAATGCTCAAGTTCACTGAAATGTAGTTGTGGTCGGAATCGCACCAAGCTTGCTCTCAATTAAGTCGATGACCACTGGTAATGAGGGTGGGTCGCCGGTAAAGTGTGTCTTGGTGGTCGGAATCGTAATTAGGTGCAAATGGTGAAGGCAGTCGGAGTGGGTTGAGAGAGAGAATACAACGATAGAAGGAAAGAATGTCGACTGGGGGGTTATCTACGCAACTCAATAACGGCGACGGGTATTACCGGCGACACCCTGGAGGGAAAAATCTGTGCGTTTTTCAGGATGTTTACGACCGTCGGATTCAATACATATCAAACGGACGGGGATTGTTTCAAGCGGATCACTACTCTGTTACCAATAGCAGTGACATGTAACACGTCAATTACATGTCGCCGCGATTGCTTGGCATCACGCTATTGCTAAAATTTCTTGCAGTGTAACCGCATAACTTGGCCCTAGAAGAACTCATTGCCACTTGGAAACCTTATGGCATGTTGTGTTGATTCCCTCATGGAAACCTTATAACAATGTTAAAATAAGCTAGTTTAGATATAATGCCTCAAACAAAACGTATCTTATCTACAAAATATTTTAATCGATACCATGTATAAACCTAATAATGCAATAAATTCCAATAGTACGACAAAGTCGGATAACGATAACCAGACGTGCATGGAACAGAAAATCTTTGAACTACTACTGTTAGAAACATGTAAATAAACGAGATTCTTAATTCATTGATAATGTTATTATAATGGTTCGTAGATTAATTATGCAGTCAACTTATTTAATAATCTAAGCAATGGTTTCAGCTCTTGAGAGTTTTCTAGCCAAACAACACAAACATACAACCTGCTCGCACGTTGTGGTGGGATTTAATTCATAAACATTTCTAAGAAGATGCTTGTCTTAAAAATAAAATAAATAAATAAATAAACAATTTCTTAATTCCACCGTCTTAATATACCAATAAGCATTACGTACGTTTTTATATTCGTGAGCGTCACAAAACCCACCCGGCCTCGTTTTCATATTCGTGAGCGTCACAAAACCCACCCGGCCTCTTCCGACAATTTGTCGCTAGATTTTGGGTCCTACAAATAACCCTTGATATTGAAGCTATCAATAAGCAGCAGTTGTACAAAATTTACATCAACTCAAATTAAGTTAAAGAAACGAAAGACAATGGCTACATTTCATCATTCACGGAGGTTTTGCTTCATTCTTAGCATCATCACAATCGTCTTCTCCTGGTTTGCAAACCTTACTGGAGCTGTCTACCATGGCTATGTGCCGAGTCCCTGGACTCTCGCACATGCCACATTTTATGGGGATGAGACTGCATCTGCAACCATGGGTAAATATCATGGCTTAAAGCTAGTATCTTCTGGATATCTAATACCCGTTTCACTATCAAGTGAATATAACATTTCAGGATATAATATTTCAGGTGGTGCTTGTGGATATGGAAACTTGATAACTAATGGATACAGAAGGGATACAGCTGCTTTGAGCACAACCACCTTTAGCGAAGGTTACGCCTATGGTCAGTGTTACCAAATACGGTTTGTCCAATCTCCATGGTGCTACAAAGGATACACCGCCGTTACTGCCACCAACCTCTGCCTGCCTAACTGGTCTCAGGATTCAAACAACGAAGGATGGTGTAACCCTCCAAGAACACACTTCGACATGGCCAAGCGTGCGTTCATGAAAATTGCTCAGTGGAAGGAAGGCATTGTCCCTATCATGTACAGCAGGTGAATTTCTGTTCCCATACTTGTTGGGAATTTTAGGGTTTGCGGTGGAGATTTGGATATCAGCTTGGATCGTGATATCACTTTCCGAACTGATATTTCTACCCTATGCCTGGGTTACAAGAAATTTAGTCTAGGATAATCCAAGTGGACACTTACGTTTCTAGGCACAGAAAACGTAAGCTATTATGCTAAAAGGTTCTGTGAATGTGTGAAGAAAAACGAGAGCTAAAGAACAAAACGTCTTTTGAAAAGGAAGAGTTGTTTATATACTAAACACGATTAGGGTTTCATTAGGGTTAGGCCGTCATTACTTGCTTTGAAAGCAAGTAATATTAATCCGGATTAGGGTTACCAAAACTAACGAATTTCGTTAGTTTTACCATAATCACCCTCAAGAAATTGAATTTTCCAGCCAAGGGCTCTGCCCCTTGGACCCCACTAAGGGCGCTGCCCCTAGACCCCGCCAAAGGGGCGCTGCCCCTTTGGAAACCTCGGACTCGGGGGCGCTGCCCCCGGACCCTCGACTAGTCGTCGAACCGGCTTCTGACTCGATCTTATACATGCGTGCACTCCGCACAACCCCGTAAATGTCTTAGAGTACAAACCATGAAGCCCCTTAGCTCACATGTTAGTTCTAGTTACTTAAAATGATATGGTGATACTAAAATCACCAACAATCCTCCCCCATTTTAGTGTAATCCTTGAACAAACATAACCTTATCACCAACAAACCAAACTAGTACATAATGAAAAATATCGTAACGATTGAATTTCCACTTAATATCATACAATTGCAAATACTCGAGAATCAGGGTGTTCTAAGAATTGAACCCGTCAACCCATTTGAATACCAGAAAGTAAAATACATACTAGTTTATTGAATTTTTAGCATAATACAACTTGACACTATTATAAAGCCGTGTGTCCCAATCCTCTCATGATCGTATCAAGGTCAAGTCCACAACCACTTGAAATGCGGCTACACTTCACAATCACGTAGGTAACTCCTTTCCATGTATCTGCACATACATTTATCAAAGGAATTATTAAGAAGTTAAACTTCAACCTGACTAACTTGCAGAACCGAACACATACCTAGGATGAATACTTCATGTGTTCCAATCTTTAAGTATGAGCTTTCCACATTGAATTCAACTCCTAACATTATATTAGGAAGGAATTGGGTGTCTCATCATTATAGAATTAAACGGATTTTAATCCCATCCCGATCACAGACTTGTGCAGTAAGTCTCTTGTCAGACCTTTAGTCAAGTGATCTGCCAAATTATGTTGCGATTTCACAAACTCAACCGAAATCACACCATTCATGATTAGTTCTCTAATCATACTATGTCTAACACCTAGGTGTCTAGACTTGCCATTATAAACCTGGCTATATGCCTTAGCCAAAGCGGCAACACTATCACAAAGGATAGAGATAGGTGCTATCGGTTTAGACCACAAAGGAATCTCATAGACTAAATTCCTTAGCCACTCTGCTTCTTTACCAGCAGCTGCTAACACAACAAACTCAGATTCCATTGTCGAGTTTGTAATGCAAGATTGCTTCTTGGAAGCCCAAGAAATGGCACCTCCCTCAAGCAAGAATGCCCAACCAGAAGTTGAGGAATGGTCATCCGCTAGGGGCTCTGCCCCTTGGACCCCACTAGGGGCGCTGCCCTTAGACCTTGCCAAAGGGTTGCTGCCCCTTTGGAAACCCCGGACCCCGACTAGTCGTTGAACCAGCTTCTGACTTGATCTTATACATGCGTGCACTCCGCACAACGCCGTACATGTCTTAGAGTACAAACCATGAAGCCCCTTAGCTCACATGTTAGTTCCAGTTACTTAAAATGACATGGTGACACTAAAATCACCAACAATACTAGCAAGGATCAAGCTTTTCTACTTTATAACTTTTGATGCACAAAGATGAACAAATTAACCTAATTTGATATGTAATGCTAATTTTATTGTTTTCGTATTTTAGAGTACCAAGCAATGCTATTAGAAAATGTGGCATTCGATTCTCATTTCAAGGAAATGGGTATTGGTTGTTGGTGTATGTGATGAATGTTGCTGGTGCTGGTGACATCAAACATATGTGGGTGAAAGGGACGAAGACAGGTTGGATGAGCATGAGTCATAACTGGGGTGCGTTGTACCAAGCTTTTGCTACTCTTAAGGGACAAGCTCTCTCCTTCAGATTAACTTCATACACCACCAAACCGACTATCACTGCCTACAATGTTGACCCTGCTAACTGGAACATAGGCTTGACATATCGAGGCAACGTCAACTTCCATTGATCACCTCTCAATGTTCTGGCTCTTCATGCGCATTTGAAACCGTTTGATTCAGTTGAAGCTGGTACGTCTGCTTTTAAATAATATTTAATCCCGACCGTTAGTATTTTTCAGATTGTAATTTCCGTCCATCAAATTAAAATTAAAACATTTTAATGGGTTAGAGATGGATGTAACCTAGCTGTGTCTTTTAACTCGTATAAATATCTGCGTATTTTAACTCTTATAAATATCAACGCGCCTGCGGTTCTTTACTTCATTTTATATATGTCAAAATAAAAGAATAAAAGAAAACCATAATTTTAAATAAAATTAAAATATATAAAAGATGAAAGTTTGAGGTTAAATTTGTAACTTTCTAGAACAAAAGAAAGTTTAAATGAAATATAAAAAAATGGGTAGTTTGTGAATAAAGAAGATTTTCGATACCAATTTTGTAACTTAGATTGTATATAAATAAAGAAAAGATTATGTCCATTGTGACCATTGCGCAATCCTATCAACTAGATGCACATAATAGAAGACACCATTTTAAATGCACGATAATTGGCTCATGATAGAACAATTCTATGGAAAATCTGCCACGATTATATATTATATATAGTTTTTTTTTTTTGAAGTCTCTAATATATACTTCGAAAATCTCCTGAAAATTCTTAAACTTTTGGACTAGTTTACAAATTAATCTTGATTTTTATTATTATTACAAAATAGTCCTAAAAACCAATAAATACTTGTATTATTGTTCTTTTTTTTTTTTCGGTGACCCTCTATTTAACCGGTTACCAAGCTAATATGGATTCCATGTCATTAAATGATAGTCTCAAACTCGTTATTTAATGTGGTTGGTAGCTTTCATATTCCTTAGCACGCAAAGAAGAAAGAAATGGCGCCTCCTCATCTGTTGGAAGCATGGATGGTTCTCCAGCAAGGAGGGGTGCTTTAAGGGCAAAATGTCATTGAGAAGATCCTATTGGGAAGTGGACGCCCAAAAACCCTGGAAGGAGATTCATTGGCTGCCCCAAATTTTCAGGTAAATCTTTGTGACATTTTTTAATTTTAACCCACACTATGTTGAATTAGGTTTAACAATATGCGATGCAAGATGAGGTGAAAGACTTCAAGTACTTTGCTTGGACCGATCATCCATTGTCAAACCAATGATATAAAGACATGTTAAGGGAGCTTCACAACAATGGTAATTTAGGCTTCAATGAAGATTATGTGGAACAACATATGGTAGAAATAGTTCAAGGTGTCCATATAAAAGGAGAAGGTGTATTTGTTATTGGAAGTTGGAAGTTTCGTTTCTGGGTTTGTTTCTTAGTAGTTGTTTGGTTAATGCTCAAGTAAAATATAATGGGTACAGCCAAGGTATCTTTTTTTTGTTCTTTTATCTTTAGGCAATGTAATCTGACGGAGATGGTATTCTGTGTCTTTTGGCAATCTATTCGCCTGGAAATATTATGGGTAATGTACATTGAGTTGAAGTAAACACAAAACTACATATTGACTTGAAGCATGTAACATAACCAAAAACTACATACCAAAACCTGCATAATTACCAAGAAATGTATACTGACTAAAATAAAGCATGTATGTTGACAAAAAAAAAAAAAAACTACATAATGACCGAATCAAAAGAAATTTCATGTGACATTAAGTTCTAATGGTTGGAATTTAAGTCATAATGTTTGGAACTTTACAAAAGATGTGTTTCAAAAAGGGTTATCCATACCCATTGCAGTAGGTTATCAAAAAAAGAATTAAAAACTAACACAATATAAGTATTTTACGAACAAAAGTAACAAAAGCAAACACCCTAATCTATGATAACTGCCTTAACATCACTCATCCATTTGCCATACTTGTCTACCACCTTGGCTTTCAATTTAATTTTAGTTATTCTTTATGAAGACTTTCTCCTGCTAACAGGCTGTAACTTTTCTTGTTTTATAATCTGAGTGGCATCAATACCATCTTCCTTGTTTTTTTAGCATCCACCTATATAACTAAAAAGTTAGTAAGTGCGCTTGTTTTAAAGCTTAATGCATACTTAACTAAACTAAAGCTAGTAAAAATGCCACATTTATTTGGGTTTCATCAAATCATTGTCCTCATCTTGACTATTATCATGGAGCAATTATGTTTCAGGGTGAGATTGTTGTGTTTCAGTAGCATCCATATAAACTTGTTTCATCATAGATTTAAAGTCTTTCAAATGAGATAAAGTAATACCAATAGAATTGATGACTTCTTCATCATTATAGTTTAACTCTCTCAAATCCTTAATGCTTTTGTATATCAGGGATAGATTGTTGTGTTTCTTGTGTTTCTTTATTTTGATGTGGGAAAAATTCTTTTATGAAAACTTCTTGTGTTTCTTTTTGGAAATTAGTTTGCTATGGGACCCTAGAACTTTCTCCTCTCTCAGCTCTACCTCTGTTACCCCTGCCTCCTCTAATACTCATGCCTCCTCGTTTTGGCCCTCTATCATCCCTTGTCCAATGGTTTAAGTCATGATCCAGCGTGGCCTACCCACTTTATTCTTTGGTTTAGGCTCTGGGATTACCTAAGGATTCTTGCAAGAAAGTTTGTTGTGTCCCATTTGTAAGCAATTCTCATACTTGATAGTTCTTTCATTTGAAGAGACTTGAGAGTATTTTTCTTCATGCTCAGACACATGCCTTTCCCTCTTGATGTTAGGCCTTCCATGCATCCTCCTTTTAATAGGTTGGAGGGGTTTCATATATTCAGTTTCCTCCCACAATCTACAACCATTGATTGTTAGTATGTTTCAAGAATATGAAGCTAAATACTTATCCCTTCTAAACCAATTGCTGATGAACTGTGCTGGATCCTTCTAAGTATATAAGATAGCTACTTGGGAATATATATATATATATATATATATATATATATATATATATATATATATATATATATATATATATATATATATATATATATATATATATATATATATATATGGTATCCTTGATAACTCCCAAAACCTGCATACACATACCAGTTGCTGCAAGTAAACTACATAAGCCTGAAACCTATTCCTAACTTCTAATGCCCCCAATCTAGTTGGATGCGCCATCTAATTCCTAGAAACCATACCTACACATACCATGTGCTGCAAATTAACTACATAAGCCTAAAACCAACTCCTACTTCTAATGCCCCCATCCACTTGGATGCCCCATCTAATTCCTAGAAACCATTACACAAAAGAATTTATATACGATCAAGTCCATATACCATAATCAAACAATCAAGTTAGTATATCTTATGTCTCACCAAATTCATCTATTTTCTTAACAGCTCCTGGATACAGTAGATCTTCCTAAATTTTCACATTCTTCCTTGAGTTTGAAGACATATCCATCATATAGAGCTTAATTTCTTCTAGAATTGTCAATAGGGGCTTCTTTATGGCACCCATAGTAATAGAATTGAAACATTCAAACATGTCATTTTCCACAGCTTTACATGGCAATCCAAGACTAAAGAATACCCTGCACCATGATTTATGGCACCCATAGTAATGGAATTCATTATATTTTTTTTTTAATTTTCTTATGAATTTCACATTTGTATCTTAAAAGATGCATTCACGTGTGAATATCACATTATATTTATATAATCATATGTGAATCTTACATAGTATATTCATATGTATATTTGTGAGTGTTCTTGCATTAATTAATTTTTTAATTTGTTTTTGTTGATTTAGAAAACTTTGTGGAAAATATTGAAGAGATGAAAACTGATAAATTGAAGAAAATATGAAAATATTGACTCGAAGAAATGATAGCACGTTGAATCTTTGTACAATTTTTGGTTTTTTATATTTTATTTTGTGTCGAATAAAATACATGTATTATTGTGTTTATAGATTAGTAAATAAAAAAATGATTTTTTATGATTTACTTATAAACATTATAGTATACGAAATATGCATATATACACTTGAAAAAATATGCATATATGCACTTCCGAAACCTTAAGTTCTTTGGTTAAAAAATTTATAGTTTTTTTCTTTTCATATTCCAGGTATTTTTTTTTTTTTAACAAAATTGCAGCGTTTAAAAAAATGCATTTTTTTAAGAAAATAATTTTTTTTAACAAAATATCATGTTTTCCAAAAAAATTTAAAAAATATACATCTTATTTTAAAAAATCTGACATTATTATTTTAAAAAAAATCCGAAATTTGATTTATTTTGTTAATTTTTAGACATTTTTATTAATATTTTCAATAACACAAAAAATTACATTAAATGAGATTGGTAAGATGACGATCATGCCCTTGATGAGTTAATTTTATCTAACGTTCCACCTTTAGTTTTTGGGAAAATATGAGTTCTCAACGGATTTCACCTCTCTCTCTCTCTCTCTCTCTCTCTCTCTATATATATATATATATATATATATATATATATATATATATATATATATATATATATATATATATATATATATATATATATATATATGAGATAGTACAAATAAAAGCTATAAATACTCTGAAAACATAAAAAACTATTTTTATGTTATTATTTTACATTGAATTTTGTATGTACAACTTTATGTTATTATTCAGCAATAAATAAATGAAAGCTCAAATGTTAAAACTAAAATTAGAATTTACTACAAAAATACACATACATAAATTTATAATAGAAGAATAACATTTTAATGAATATATGAATAATCAAACATTAATATTCATATTATAATTACTTCAACAATACACATATACAACACTCATTACAAAATAATAACATAAACATAATGTTTTTACATTTAGACACTATTTAATATTTTTATTTGAACTTATATATATATATATATATATATATATATATATATATATATATATATATATATATATATATATATATATATATATATATATATATATATATATATATATATATATATGTTGCAATACAAGAATCAAAAGATTTCTTTACATTTTCACTTGAAAATCTCTTAAGGAGATGAATTACGCCTGAGATAATTTTATTTCACTTCTAATGAACAAGACTTTCAGTTACAATCCACAACTTTACAAGATAAATCCAATGATATTGAAAGATCAAAACATAGCCAAAATAAAGGAAAGAGTGTTG